CACTGCAACTGGATTGCTGCCTTATGAGTAAAGCATCCACAAGATATCTGAGATATCCGTGGAACCCAATGGCGATCAATTATTCTGGATTACTCCAGGCAACCAACTTGTGAATCTGATGGGATCATTGCGGCTCTCTTCTTTTGTCTTTTCACACAAGAGGGATCCAAATAATTAGGACAATTTTTTTTTCTAACAATGTATTTGTGTGTGCATGTATGTATGTTTAGAAAACTTTTTTTTATCAGCTGAAAGTTAAGAAGAGTTAGAAATGAAAGTGGGGGAAAAAAAACCTTGATCATGGAATTATGGAGTGAAAGAAAGATTTTATTCTATAAAGAAAAGCCACATATTCATATTTCCTCTCCCCACATAGTGGTCTCCTTATTCCAAAATGCCCATATGCATGTTATTCCCAACTGTTTTCTATTGAGACAGATAAAGGGTGCGGGGAGAAACCCAACAAAGAGGCATGAAAAAGATACCTGGATTTGGGCTGTAATAGAAATTAGTCCTTATAGTTCATCAGTGGTAGGGTTTTCATTTAAAAGCAAACGGTTTCTGTAAGAGGTAGTTTCGATGGTCGCTGGGGAGCTGTCCAGCAATAGGAGTTGCTGAAAAAAAAAAAAAGCACAGCATCTGGTCAACTCAAAACCTCACCCTTAACCGATGCAATTATCATGACCTTCACATTTAAAGAAAGCTCAAAGCACTTTAGGCAGATCTTCCCCATCATAATATATAAAAAAAATCTCTTTAAATCACTCCGCAGCATACTCTACACTTGGATGCTAAAGACTGTGAAGCATTTCTCTTCGTAAACACAAAACTCAGAATTGCTGGGATTCTCATTCAGTCTCTTAAGTGCTGAGCTCCGTTCTCTTAGCATGAGTGGAATCATCTTTAAACTATCCCCAGATTTTGTAAAGCACATTTGAAGTAATCCGTAGAATAATCAACCCAGTTTCTGGGACAGTCCAATCTCTCTGATCTCTGCTGCTCTCCTCCCCCCTATGTTAAAATTCAATCCCCCATAATTCTTATCCCAGAAGCAAGTGGTTTGATGGTGCTTATGCACTGGAATCTGAGGCAAACGGGGAAGAGACGCTGGTCCTGAGTCTTGCCTCCCATTTGCTTTTCAGAAGTAGTATTCATGTGAGAAGCAACCACGAATGGCCCACCTCCGAGAACCATTCGTTCCAGTCTTCTCCTTAGAATGCCCAGGAATGCAATGAAACAAACCAAATGAAAAATCCTCCACTGGTTAGGAAAGGAAAATAACTTTAAGAAATTGACCCGCAGAGAGAAAAAGCAAGTTTACCTACTGTCACAAATATAACACGTTTGTATTAATATTGCTGTTAAAGATTATTCTGCTCTGTTTGTTTATTGTTTGCTTTGCTTCATTTCACCTCCCTCCCTTCCCCTCCCCTCCCCTCCCTCCCTCCCCTTTTCTTCCCTCCCCTCCTCTCCCTTCCCTTCCCCTTGCTTCCCTTCCCTTCCCCTCCCTTCCCTTCCCCTCCCCTCCCTTTTCTTCTCTTCTCTATTTCCCTCTCTTGCTTACTTTAAATTCTATGAAGGTCCAACAGCTACTTCATCCAACTACCTTTCTCTGCATCTTATGGAATATATATATTTCCTGCCAGGAAAGGTCCTGCACTCAGCTTTTTGGAAATGCATTCAAACCTTAAGTTTCCTAACTCTACTTTATCTACCACTAAAACCAGTGGCATTTGAGAGTTCTCAGTAGCTAACTCATCCTAGTTGTTGCACTGGGGCTACCTTATAGGTGACTCTAGTGGGATGCTACTTGCATATATGCTATTAGTAGTTTATGAACGAAGAAACTGCAAACACTTACTCTGAAGACCATTAAGCCCACCGTAAAAATAAAATATCTAGTTGGCTCAGTAAGATGGGACAGTTTGAACAAGCATTGTCAGCTCAGAAGTGAAAACACAATCCCAGGATTGTATCGGTGTGTTTAGCGGTCTCCCAACACCTTGAAAATGCCTCGCCTGCTTTCATCCTTGGGCCATCTGAGAAGCATGCAGATGTTCAGAATAGGCCACTTTTCACTGATGAAACTCTCCACTCCCCTCCTCTCACTAAAGAGCCTTGCCAAGCAGCCACACACTCACTACACTGTTGGTGGTTGGTATTCGACCGCCGTCAGTCCTCACAACTGGAGAGCATCCAATCGTAGTTTGCAAGGAAGCAAGGATCTGAAGGCATGAGCTTGCAAGACGTGCCTTACCGTGCATTTTTCATTACTAACGACAATCTAGAGTTCACAAGATAAATAATGCTGGTCTTTCCCCAACCCATTCCTGACAGGGCAGAGTGCTTGGGATACCCTTCCGAGAGATCTCTAAGTCTGAACTCAGGAACCCCATGTGACACATTCAAGGCTGAAGATGGAAATTAAAGAGTGCTATAGTCACTTGGGCTATGGGGAAAAATAGGCAGGAGGTAAATAATAGAAAACGTGCGTGTTCATGCCACGAGAACACACACACACACACACACACACACACACACACACCAATCTCGGGGGGGGAATCAAAAACAATGGTCCCCAACATTTAAGGAGAACATCAATCCCTTGACCAACATCCTGAATTCATTCTCTCTCTTATTATTATTATTTCACATTGGTTATTTATTTCCAGTGGCTATTATTGCCTACAATGTGTGTGTGTGTGTGTGTGTGTGTGTGCGCGCGCGCGCGCACGTGCACACACGTGCACACACGCAAAGGGAATTAGAGATGGGATTTCTGAAACTCATTCTCTGGTTATGGAGATGGGGCCTGTTCATACATGGGAACGAAGACACAAACATTCAAATCCCATATCTTGTGTTAACAGGAGTTCCATTTTAACACACCCGTAAGGGATACCTCTAAAGAAGTAACCAAAGGACCTGAGTTGCACTTACTTTTTTTTCATCTTTTTTTTTTCATTTTTTTCATTTTTCATCCGTAAAATGGAAATACATTTGTTTGCTGAGGAGCTAAACAAGGCAAGTGTCCTTCCTTTGAAGAACGATCAATCCATAATTTTACAAGCAACATCAGAAATATTGTTTGGTGTAAATAAAGGGCATGTTTTGATATCAGACCTAAGCAAGTATATCTGGAGGCTTATTATCTTGTTACTTCAAATGGGATTCCCCCCCCCAAATAAGCACGTCCCTGCTACATTTGAGAAAAACACGACCTCCTTCAAGTTAGATCCGTGACTCTTTCTTTGTTATCCTTCCATCTATGTAACCGGCAGATTGGCAGTAAACCACCAACCTATGTTTCCTTTGAACCGAGCTAAATTCAGAGCATAAGATTCACTTAAAAAGTTGGGATATGGTTTTTTTGGGGTTCTTGGAGGGAGGGAGAAAGATAGGGGAAACTCTAGACCTTCGCTGAAATGTGGATTATTTTAAGGAGGTAATGGGCTATTCTCAAACTCAGTACTCACTTCCTTACTTTCCCCCCCTTTGAATCCCACCCACTCATTCAAGATTATCTAAGCGAATCGCTCCCCAAAAACTAACTGATTCCGTGAGCATCCCGCGTTGCGGTTGAAGGGTGCTGAATAAACGAAGATTTTTCTAAAGAAGGAAGGAGAAGCAGGGCATGAATTTGGGTGACAGCAAAGCTCTGAGTGATGCCACCATTGCAAAGATGCCACCGAAGGCAGAATCTCCCAAGAAAGACAATGTCACCCATAAGGGGGGCAGCGATTGGCGGGTCCTTTTCAAGCAGAAGCAACCTTGAACAATAATGGGTGACTCACAGCTCCCCCTCTACATACAGATCCATGGATTGCAATGGATCCCCCCCCCCCCAAAAAAAACCCCTTTTACGGGGAGCCCCAAAGGAAATCTCACCAATTTCTCTGGGAAGTGAATATAGCAATTTTGTCCTGCGCATGCAGTCTAAACAATCAAGTTCATCGTACAGTTAGTAAAATCCCATTTATTAAGAAGCGGATGAGAGTTGCGCTGGAAAGCAACCGCACAAAAGCAGGTTGACTTTTTCAGCACTGAAGTGAGTGGACAGCGTCGGAGCCACGCCGGACGATCCCGCTCCACCAACAACGTCTAAAACGGTCGTACGAAGCGCTTTGGCAACAACGCTTCCTATTTATCTTTAACAACGCTGAACAGAACTGCCCCTTGCCGGGCCTGAAAGCAAAGCGAGCAAAGATTGCGAGAGTTATTGAACCCCACAACCAACAACGCAGAAATCACCCGGCATCCAGAGGCGTTTGCAAGGCAAGGAAAGACGCCGGGTTTGGCTCGGCTGCCACAGTTTGCGCCAAAAAGTAATAGCAAGTAAATGTACCGACACTGAGCCATTTCGCCTCCGCCGCATTTTCACCAGGACTCAGCTGGCGCTGCCCTCTATCCTGCGCTCCAGACCTGCGCGGGGCAAAGGTGCCAGGAGGGGCCACTGGCTTGGGAACCCCCAGGTCGCCATCGGTTGCCTTGGCCTTTGTCCTCTCTGCGGACTCCTGGGCTGCTTCGACGTGAGGTCGGCTATACAACTCAGGGGGCGGGGAGGAGAAAGAGGAGGAGGTGGTGGTGGAGGAGGAGGAGGAGGAGGGGGCAAGGGAGGCAGAGCGCAGGAAGGAGGAGGGGAGAGACCAGGCCAGTCCATCAAAACTGGAGGCGCAAGTTCTCGCGAGAGGGAGAACCGGTCGGGAGCCCCGGGATGTGGGCTCAGGTGGAAGCAAGAGCGCATCTCCTGCCAGCCCCGGGGTAGAGCAGGCAGAAGAGTCGAGCGGCCCGGGTTGCAGGAAGGCTCGCCCTGCGCGCTCCCGGGGAGCTGCCAGCCTCAGTCACCTCGGATGTGCTGCTGCTGCGGCGGCGGGGGCGGCAGCCTGGCTGTGCTCGGCGCACAGAGAGCCCTTTCGCCCGGCGCGCTGGTGGCGCTAGGCGCGGATTTCCTCCTGGTCGCCGTTTCCCTCTTGCTCTCCTCCGCCCGCCGAGCCGCCACGATGATGTCCATGAACAGCAAGCAGCCCCACTTCGCCATGCATCCGACCCTGCCGGAGCACAAGTACCCCTCGCTTCACTCCAGCTCGGAAGCCATCCGGAGAGCATGTCTCCCAACTCCGCCGGTAAGAAACAAACCGCCGGACTTTCCACGCTGGGTTGGCCGGGCTCCTATTCTCTCGTTGCCCCTGCCGCCCCGTGGGTGCCTTCTTTGGCTTCAGCCGCAGCGGCTGGGACTTACAGCCCCCGTCTCCGCCCTTCTGGAGGGTTAGGTGGAAAGGAGGCTCCCCGGAGCTTTCCTGCCCCTGAATTTCCCTTCCTTCTTTCTTTCTTTCTTTCTTTCTTTCTTTCTTTCTTTCTTTCTTTCTTTCTTTCTTTCTTT